GGAACTATAGATAGAGGGGACCTTCCTAAACTTTTTGTGTGGGGACCCAGCAGAATCAATCATCGGTGGGAGGCAGTTGATTAGACATCTGTGTGTCACATACCTGGCAAAAGAGGGACAGGAACAGAATTAAGTTTAGATAAAAATAATTTAATATTTGAAAATGTACCAACTCATTTCAGTTATTAAAAAATCTGAGTGTATGGTACAAATGACAAGAAAAGTTAGACAGCTTTAAAGAGATAAAAAACAATGACATTATAACCTTGATAGTATTGGGTTAATAATAACTACAAAGTACTTAATATGTAGGTGTAGGGTTGGTTAATTTCCCCCAACTCAACAGTTTATCTGGATTTGCCTGATGACATCTGACCTATTTTTCAGCATTCCAGGCAATAATTACCCAAAGTCTTCCCCAAAGTCTCAGTCCATAAAATCCTCCTTTTAATAAGCCTTAATAAGCCTTTAGTGCGCCTTCTGCAGCACTTCAAAATCACATGGGCACCAGGGGAGTGTTTTTAAAACATGCAGTTTGTGAAGTGCATTCTGGGACATTTCAGGCTTAAGACAAAACTGCAGGGACACAAACATCGGTTACTATAAACTGGAGGGAATCTTATTCTGGTGGGAAACGCTGGGATGCGGGGTGGGCAGCAGTAGTTGGGGGCTCCTGGGCTTCCCAGATGACTCAGTGGTAAAAGAATCTGCCTGCCAATGCAGGAAACATAAGAGACACAGGTTCAATTCTTGGGGTGGAAGATCCCCTGGAGAAGGGAATGGCCATCCACTCCAGTATTCTTGCTGGGAAAAGCCCATGGACAGAGGAGCCTAGTGGGCTACAGTCCACCGGGTCGCAAAGAGATGGACATGACTTTGCAGCTGAGGATGATGAAACTAACTGAAACAAGCAAACGAAAGAACCCTAAGTGGATCCAGCCTGAACCGGCCATGGGTAATTCTGATGAAGCACACTGTGATCTGAAGATGGTTAACTTTTCAGTTGGGTCAGGCAGGCCTGGGAATGACAGGGCAAAGAGTTAGTTTCTCCCAAATCCCTTTTCTATTCACCCAGAGCTACCAATTCTGTCCTAGTTACGTTCATTGTAGATAAAGGGTGACACAGTAACTTTAACATGCTCCATCTGCAAAGTTAAAATATCTACCTGTTCACAAGCTCGAAGAGCTTATTAATTGTTTCCAGATGTTCTGTGTCTACCAAATGCTTCTCAAAATAGAGTATGACACAGTTGGGGGCAATATAGTAATTCTTTGTTGCTCTAGAATAGCACTGTCCATTATGGTTGCTGCTAGCCACATGAGGAAGTGGGCTTCCCTCATAACTCAGTTGGTAAAGAATCTGCCTGCAATGCAGGAGACCTGGGTTCAATTCCTGGGTTGGGAAGATCCCCTGGAGAAGGGAATGGCAACCCACTCTAGTATTCTTGTCTGGAGAATCCCATGGACAGAGGAGCCTGGTGGGCTACAGTCCCTAGGGTCACAAAGAGTCAGACATGACTGAATGGACTTAGCAAGCACATATCCTCAAATGCTACTTTGTTCAGAAATAGTGTAAAGTTTTATTTTTTCCTATTGTATCAAGTCTCAGTTCCTCTGCTTGGCTTTCAGAGACCTTCAGGTCAGCTATCCTAATGCAGCTGTTTAATACTATTCTCCAAGACTCTCCACAGTAATTGCCAACCCTGTCTATTGTTACTGCAGCTTCCCTTCCAGGCTCACTGCTCACCTTAGTCCAGGCCCTCTCAGCTCCCCCGGACCACTGCAATAACTTCTTAGTTCATTTTCCTGACTCCAGACATTTCCCTTTCCCATCCTGCTTCCTGCCAACAGAACGCTCTCACTGAAGGATCACTGTGATCATGTCAGTCCTTTGTTCAAAAGTCTTTCCATCTTCTGCAGTCCCCATCTCAGTAAATGGCGCCTCTCTATACCAGCTCCCTGTACCAGACACTTGGGCGCTGCCTTTATTCTTCTTGTCTCTCACCCCACTCATGGAATCAGTCACCAAGTTCTTTATGTTCTGCCACTTGTAACTCTCAAATCAGTCTCCTACTACTTTTCTCCATCCTCAAAGTCCTTGTCAAAGCCGAGGTCCCTTGACTGGACCACTGCAGCAGCCTCCTAACCTGCTTCTGACTTCACTGTTTTTCAGCCCATTCTCTACCTGGCTGCTTGACATACCTCTTTCTCTGATGGAGCTCTAATGTTGTGATTCTCCTGCTTAAAACTCTTTGGGGTTTTCACTCCATCCCTTTGAGGATGAATCTCAAAATCTGTGACACTCTGTAAAGGATGCTTTGTGATATGGCTCCTTTTATGTCTCCAGTCTCGTTGCTTCATCCCAAACTCTCTGTCCTGCACCTTCTCTTCTAGATTTACTGAACTAGATCCACTTCCTCTCAGAAGGCATGTGATCAATTGCTCACTTGCTTGACTGCTAACCTCCAGCCCTTCTCACACATTACTCCCTCTACCTAGAAAGTTCTTTCCTCCCACATCCAACACATTGTTTTGGACTCGGCTTCCTTGATGGCCATTACCATGTCTCTCTTCATCTTTACCTTGCAAGCACCCAGAACAGTGCCTGGCATTGGGTGGGCTCTGAATTCAGAGAAGTTAAATTGTTCATGGTCATACAGCTGGTAAACAGGTAAAGAAAGTGAAAGTGTTAGTTGTTGCTTAGTTGTGTCCGCATGGACTGTAGCCCACCAGGCTTTTCTGCCCATGGCATTTCCCAGGCAAGAATACTGGAGTGGGTTGCCATTCCCTTCTCCAGGGGATCTTCCTGACCCACATCTTCCTGGGTCTCCCACATTGCAGGCAGATTGTTTACAATTTGGGCCATGAGGGAAGCCCCTAACAGGTAGAGAGCTGGGATTCAATTCAGGTTTCTGAGTTTTGTGTACCTGCCATTTTACTGCTTTGCCTCCTAACTCGGGATAAAACATTTTAGACATAAAGTCCCAGTTCATTCATTCATTCAACAAATACGTTTTGATTTCCTAATATGTGCCATGCATTGTGTTAGATAAAGGGGGTGAACTGGTGAACAAGGCATTCCTTGGCTTTAGTATACTTCTACTCTGATGAAAGATACAGATGAATGAAGATACATTTGTACCACTATGTGCCAGATATTATTATAGGAGTGGGTAGAAGGTAAACCGGAAAGACTATGGGAGGGGGTCAGGGAAGGCCTTTGGAGACAATTGATTTCTAAGCTCTGACAGTACGTAGCATAAGCCTCGGGAAGCTGAGGAAGCCGAGGAAGAGAGTTCAAGTCACAAAAGAACAACATCTGTGGTTGGTGGCTACTGTATTGGACAGGTTAAAATGGCAACCCACTCTATTATTCTTGCCTGGAAAATCCCATGGACGGAGGAGCCTGGCAGGCTACAGACCATGGCGATTGTAAGAGTTGGACACTTAGCAACTAAACCACCACCAGCCACATGGTGGCTATTTAAATTAAAATTAAATAAAACTCAATTCTTTAATCACACTAGCCAAAGTTAAAGAGCTCAGCAGGCATATGTGGTTGGTGGCTACTGTATTGGACAGGTTAAAATTATATTAATAGAACACTTCTATCATTGCAGAAAGTTGCATTGAACAGTAGTGCTTTACAATAAGAATTGTTACATCCTTGATGTGTTTATATCTGTACTAGTCAGAAATAAAAACGCCAAAGAGATATCTTTTCCTAAAGATTGTCTACATAGATATCAAAGAGACGCCTGTAAAAATATGTACAAGGAGTGATCTTACCAAGATTAGAACTTAAAAAAAGAAAAAGATTAGAACTTTTTATTGGTAGTCAGGGTGATTACCTCCTGTTACTTTCATCCTCCTATTGGCTAGGATGTTTAGAAACTCAATTTCGTGAACTGAAAAAAGAAATGAGTAGCGAATTTAGGCAATTAAATCATTTTAGTGAGAATTAAGGCTTTTGTGGAATAATGTGGATAATTATTCAGGTAGTCAATTTTTATTTTGGCTGTGAAGGTAATTCAGTATTCTTAGAAAATAAGCTCTGAGGTTTCTTTGTGAGGCAAATTTGACTGCCTTAGTTACCACACAATTCACCTTTGAAGGATCGTGCGTGCTCTTCAAGTGCCTTTTTTACTAAGAAAAGGTGATGCTAGCCTAGGATATATAAGCAAGGTTTCTTGTGTTCTCCAGAAACATTCTATGAGATCTGACACATCATGTATCACATACAATTGCAATGACCAACTGGCCTGTAATAGGTTCTCAACCAAGTTTCTAGACTTAACTGAAAACCTACGACCCTTAAATACAATACCTGTTTATTAATGTTCATTACAAAAGAACATGTTCATTAAATACACTGGAAAATACAAGAAAGTTGAAAAATTTTTCGTAGGCTCGTAACTTCGTCTTTTTCAGCTATGCTTATTTTTAAAAGGTGTAATTACACTAGAGTCTGTACCTTCACATAATAGACTGTGTGTTAACTACTCTGGCTAGACCTGTTGTGCAAGTCCATAGAGATGTACGCTATGAAAGGTGTGTGATGGGGGGACGAAGTGAAGGAAACTTATAAAATCTCTCTTTAAGCATACCTTACTCATATCCATCTTAGATGCTTACACCTGTATAGCATTTAAAGATCATCCTTTGACATGTGAAAAGAGAGGTGCAGCTAATTTACACTGCCTATTAAGTTCCCAAGAGTAAAGTCGCAACCAAAGCAGAAAAGAAAAAACCTGGGCAGCTGGGTAATGTATTGAGTATTTATAAATATATTTGCTTTGGCTTGGAGAGCTTCCTTTCCGTGCCACAGCTCCTGGGTGTCCTCGAAGTAGGGTCCGTCCTTCTCTTGGGGCGGGGCGTGTGGGAGGAGCGTGAAGTCCTTGCCTCTCCTGGCAGCAGTTGGCAAACGCTGAAACCATCCTCGGCGATCCGGGCGGGACTGGAGCGTGCTGGGGGCGGGGCATGCCAGATCGGGAGAGTCTTCCGGGAGTGCGGGCCAGGTGACGGCCGCTTCCTGGGCGTGAGGCGGGCAGCCTGCGATTGTGGTCCCCACCCCGGGAGATCTGGAACCCGGGTGACCGCGTAGGTCAGTTTCCTAGGCCGGCTCCAAGGCAAGCGGGCTCTTCCCTGCTTGGTGCTGGGGGAGGTCTGTCTACGCGTGGTGGGGAGTGAGGGCGCGTCTCCGAGGATGGGCAAGGTCTGGGTCTGGAGGTACCGGGCTCGGACCCAGACCTCGACCTCCCCGAAGTCCCTGGCAGCTCCGACGCTGCGGGGAAGTTGTTGCAAGTAGTAAGACGTTGGCATTTGTTGCATTTCCACTCTGGGTTCTGGGACTTCGTCCCGGTGCCTCATGCATTCCCTGAGAAGTCATCAACTGCGTGCTTTCTAGGTACTTGGATGTGTGCATACCAACTTTGAGTTTCCTACTATCGTGAGGAGGGTTGATTCACAGTGGAGGTCACGAGCTGTTCACGTGACCCTTCTCACTGTGTACCTCGTGGTCAGTTCCCACTAGCACCAAAGACCATCAAAGGAGTTCAGAAACAGTATGAAAGATTGCAGCTGCCTAATAGAAACAATGCTACGGTCCATGGGGTCGCAAAGAGTCTGACACGACTGAGCAACTGAACTGAACAGAAACAAAGGTTTATTTACCCGGTGGCCCTGCTGTTTGGCAGGAGGCGTTGAAAAGGGTTGTCTTGATGTAGTTAATGTTGTGAACGTCTTAGCTTTATGCGGATAGTGAAGTTGAACCGTTGGCATGTGCTATTAAGTTAAACTGGACTGTTGCAAATTTAGTGATTAGGTGTTTGTGGGTAGAATCAGTGATGTGTTTTTCTTGACAATCTCAGCCATATCGTAATATTGTAATTGATGCATTCTTGGTTTAGAGTTCGGAACGTCCTCACCTCTTATTTCAGGATTTGGAAAATACTTCGATTTGTTTTGATGGCTTAGGAGTGTTTGCGTTCTGACTCTGATACAGGGAAATTTTTTGCAGTGAGTAGTAGGTATAATTTCTGGATCCCCCAGCTGAAATTTTAAAGGTCTCTGTGTTAATTACAGAATAGTTACAAAATTCACCCTCTTTTCATCCCCTAGTTCTACTCTAGGAGCTCTACCTACAATCTATGAGTGGAGAAAGGGGAGAAAACTGTTAGTAATGTTCCTTTTTAGAATGTATCTTTTTCTTCTAGCCTTGAGCAACTGATATGCAAAACAGGAGTTAACTGCTGCAAGTTGAATAGATTTATCTGAAGCAGTTGTTGTGTATTAGTGCAGGCTTTTGCCAGGGTCTGTTTATCAGATGACACTTGCTGAATATCTTTTTCCTCAGTAAAAGGTTGTGGGGGGTGGCTGATCCTTGTCCCTGGAAGCTCTCAGCCTTACAGGTATTATTTGCACAACACTTACACCTGTAATTCAGAGCAGCTAAATGTTATTTCTGTAAAACATTGCTTTTTCCACTCTTTCTCGAAAGCAAAGGGAAATGGTGCTTGTTTGGAACCAGCAACTATGTAGAAAAATACAGCGTTTCTTTTGCATGATAACATGATGCAATGTCTATTTAACAAGATAAAAATGTTCTTCATGTGGTTTTATTTTACCTAGACACATCTATATTTAATTATAATATATCAATCTTCATGCTTTGACAGTTTCTTACCTCTTGCTATTACAAAGAGCTGAGCTTTTGTACATTATATGTATTCACTGAGAATAGCAGTCAGGTGAAAGTGGAAATCAGCTTAACTAATAACATATGGGGGAGAAAGCCAGGGCATGTAAAAAAATTTGTAAGTGGTTAATAGCCAAGTCTGGTGGTAATTAGAACTTTATTGATTTGTAAATTCTTTCCAGTTCCTAGAGAAAGGACAGGTGTTAGCAGTATAGTTAGCAATAAGCTTATACCGATCTTTCTAGAAGTCATTAATGAGGGGTCAGAAAAGATACTCTCATGCATTTTGTACAGAATATATTGGTGATCATATATAATTATCTTATAGGATGTTCTTGATCCCTAGAAATGTAGGATTTTGTCACTTACCTGTCCTCTTTCACTAATAACATAGGCAAATATAAGAAATACTTTTAAACGCTTAAAGTAGGAGGATGTAGTAGATCACTTTATCTGAGTCACTATATTCATCAACCAGCAAATAGGGAATTACTGTGCTATACAGGGAAAGTGGTCTTTAACTGTACAGTTTCCTATCATGTGACAATGAAAGTAACCACATTTTTACTTTGGTTAAAGTTTTCCTTTAAAGAAAAATTCTGGTTATATAGTGGGTAACTGATCAGTACTGCAACATATTTCATTAAGTTTGGAAGATAATTTTCAAATGTGGGATAATCAAAATAGGAAACATTTAAATACACTATCTGACATGTAAGGAATTTTATCATTAGAACGTGATAGTTGATCAGCCTTCTTTTGGTGAGTTGTTATTATATAAAACTATATTCATCTAATTTGTGAACTTCTCTTGCTTCTATGGGTCCAACCTAATTTGAAACTATAGTTAATAGTTTTTAGAATCTATGAAGTTCAAATTCAAATCAAGGATGAATGTAAGGGTTAGTTCTTGGTTGTTGAAGCAGATAAAATGTATAGCAAGTTAAGGTTTAAACAATTTCATAAAGCAGGGAAGCTTATTTAATTTTTACTGGTTCTATTAAACATTAATATTTTCAACTGAATGAAGATAAAATAATAAATAGCACGAAGGGTGATTATTTTATTATATCTGTATGGCATCCAAGTCAGTATGGGTATATATGAATAGAGAAGATAATGTAAATAGGTTAAATATAATTTGGTATAGGCATTTTACATTGATTTCAGTGGCTTACAAACTTCGGTAAGACATACTACAATCATAGCCAGATGTCTCTCGTTTCTCCTGCAAAAAGGATGATGCTGTTGATCTGCGCACAGAGTCCTGTTGACGTTAGCGAGAAAGTTTCACTGAATTAAAAATGAAGCGATTTTTAACTTAATTTCATATTTTTAAAAGAAAGAGGCAGGTGCTTCCTAAAATGACTTTAAAATTTGCTGTCCTTTTCCTTAAATTGCCATATTTTGGATATCTTATTTCAATGAGTAAAGCTTCTTAAAATGAGAGGGTTAAGCGAAAATTCGGATTCAGCTTCCTTGGTTTTCACACATGTGAACAATAACTAGGATCGGGGACCTTCAATTTTAGAGGCTGAATTGAGTTTTATGAAATATGTAGCATTAATAATACTTCACCCCTTGACTGGAAGTTCTAAATTCTGGCTGTGGCTAGTAAAGTCATACCCTTAGCAAGTACCCTTTGTGCTTTTCAGTTTCTTCATCTCTAAAAGCAGTGTTAGATTAAATATGAATCTGTCTGCCAAGGCTAAATTTCTGAAACAAGCAAAAATGCATTTAATTATTTGTGTTATCACAAGTGTCATAATTTTATACATATACATTTGTATATGCCTATGTACAAATAGGTATATACACACATACATACACCTGGGATGTATAATATAAAAGAACTTAATGATTACTTGCTAGGAACTAATAAGATTGAGAGCAAAGCTATTTTATTTCTGTCATCATGTTTTAACATAGTCACTTTGATTTTTAATATTTTCCTTATATTAAAATACAGTATTGGAAGAATATCGGGGAAAAAATATATCATTAAGCAGTTGAGTACTTTGGAATACAGTGCTGAGGATACTGGGGGTATTTTTGGTTTTAAAGACTTGGTTTGTAAAATATATTCATAAATATTTAATTTTTCTCACTACTCAAATTCCTAGTATACAGTATACTTCAAATATTTTAATGTATTACCAAGCATAAAATCAATATCTGAGAATTTTAAAAATAATCACAACATAGTCATAAGGTGTTTTGAATAGTTGGCTTCCTTTGACTTTTTACTAGTACAAAAGCTATTTGGCACTTGTTAGCCTCAAATTTTAGATGATTTCTCATTTTTTTAAATTGTAAATTACGTAGAACATAAAATCTCTTTAGCCATTTTAAAATATATTATGCAGCAGCTGTTGTCTCTGTCCATTTCTAGAACTTTCTTATCCCAAACTGAAGCTCTGTACCCATTAAACATTTAACTCCCCATTTTCTTCTCTCCCAGCTTTTATTCATCCATCACCATTTCAATTTTTGGCTTCATGAATTTGTCTACTCCAAATATATAAGTGGAGTCACTTATTTGTCCTTTGATGTCTGGCTTATGTCACTTCAAATAATGTGTTCTGGGTTCATCGTTATTGTGGCACGTTTCAGGATTTCATTCTTTTTTAAGGAATGAACAGTAGTAGTCTACTGTATGTATGTAGTACATTTTGCTTATCCAGTCATCTGCCAGGGGGCTCTTAGGCAACTTCCACCTCTTGGCTGTTGTGAAGAACACTTCTGTGATCATGAACAGATATCTCTTTCAAGAGTCCCTTCAGTTCTTTTGGGCGTACACTCAGAAGTGGAATTGCTGAATCATCCAGTAATTTTATGTTTAAGTTTTTGAGCATCACCATGCTTTACTGATACTTTATGATGTCCCGTTAAACATTGCTATATTTGTGGTCTAATAAAGTTAGCCATGGATGTCTTTGAATTTTAACTTCAGACACCTTTAAGAACTCTTAAAAGACAGATAATTTTTTTTTTTTTTTTAATATTGCACCATGTGGCATGTGGGATCTTAGTTTCCCCAGCCAGGGATTGAATACAAGCCCCTCTGCATTGGGAGCAGAGAGCCTTATCCACTGGACTACCAGGGGAGTCCAAAAGCACATCATTTAATATTTTGAATTTCTGGTGCTTGAGTGAATTAGCTCTGATTATTGAACTTTACTGTCTTTGATTTCTCTAGGAATTTTCTTCTTTGATTCTGTATAAGTTCAGCTGGAATAGTAAAGAAAAATAGCCATTCAGTTTGTAAAATAATAGACCTCTGACTGAATTGAACAAGTTGATTGCCCTTTAAGTTACAGTTTTAGGGTTTCTCTGTCAAGATTTCAGAGTTGTTAGGGCCACAGAATTTATCCACTGTAATTAATGGAGATTTAGCAGTGTATATCAAGTATAGGAACCAGCTTAAGTAATGTACAGGCTTCCCTTGTGACTCAGCTGGTAAAGAATCCGCCTGCAGTGATCCCCTGGAGAAGGGCAAGGCTTCCCACTCCAGTATTCTGGCCTAGAGAATTTCATGGACTGTATAGTCCATGAGGTCGCAAAGAGTCAGACACAACTGAGCAGCTTGCACTTCACTCACAGTGTTTATACAACAGCAAAATGTAAATTTGCTTTCCACAAAATAATTCAGAATTAGAAGCTTGTCTTTCCCAGTGAACCTTGGAGGAGGGGAGTCAAGGCAAAGTGGCCTCTAGTCTCCCAGTTTTTGAAGCTCAAGATGTTTTTGTCTAGTTATTTTCTTGAACATTCTCTTGGCCATTAAAATCTCGTTAATTAATCTTAAAAACAAGAGTTAGTAGCTGCATGTATGTGAAAAGAATGGCTGAACACATCCACAAAATGACACTGAAAAATATCAATATTATGTGTGCTGATAGAATGTTGTTCAAAGTCTAGTCTCATAAGATGCATTAAGGGTTTACTTGTCTTTCTTTTGGCTTAAACATCAGAGACAGTGCTTTTCTGAAATAAATTCTCATGAGTCCAAAGAATATTTTTTAACATCTGTTCAACATTTGAATTTGGATTCTTTGATTTTTGTATTTTTTCTAAAGTTAACTGTTGTTGTTCAGTCACTAAATTGTGTCTGACTCTCTGACCCCATGGACTGCAGTACCCCTAGGCTTCCCTGTCCTTTACTATATCCTGGAGTTTTGTCCAGCTCACGTCCATTGAGTCATGAGTGATGGTGATGCTATCCAACCATCTCATTCTCTGTTACCCGCTTCTCCTCCTGCCTTCAGTCTTTCCCAGCATCAGGGTCTTTTCCAGTGAGTTGGCTCTTTACATCAGGTGGCCAAAGTATCAGTCCTTCCAATGAATATTCAGGACTGATTTCCTTTAGGATCGACTGGTTTGATCTCCTTGAAGTCCAGGGGACTCTCAAGGGTCTTCTTCAGTGCCAGAATTTGAAAGCATCAATTCTTCTGCACTCAGTCTTCTTTATGATCCAACTGTCACATCTGTACATGACTATTGGAAAAACCATAACTTTGACTATGTGGACCTTTGTCAGCAAAGTGATGTCTCTGCTTTTTAATAGGTTTGTCATAGTTTTCTTTCCAAAAAGCAAAGGTCTTTTAATCTCATGGCTTCAGTCATGGGCCGCAGTGATTTTGGAGCCAAAGAAAACAAAATCTGTCACTGTCTGCACTTTTCCTCCTCCTATTTGTTAACTGTTAACTACAAATTATTCATAAGTTAAGAGATGTATTAATATCAAATTAGCAGTGATCATCCTAAATAATCCTGTAATGTATATTTTAAAAGATCTTCCTTTTTTGCTATGATTTTAATTTCTTGTGGCATATAAGGGGGAAAAACCTTCATTTTTTGATCACTGGATGAAAGTGTACCACTTGTAATAAGCACATTACTTTTAGGCCTTCCTGTCGGTGTAGTTGATTGCTTTGATCTTGAAAAACTAAGTCCATGTTCATCCATCCATCCATCCATTTAATGTTTGGTTGCTTGCTGTGTTCTGGGTACCTTACTGGATGCTAGGGATATAGTGGGGACACATAACAGACTTGGGACCCTTTTTCTAATTAAGTTTGTAGTGTATATGGGGAGAACAAAGAAATGACCACATGAGCACCTACAGACTAATGTTTGTGGCAAACATGAAGTGCTGTGAAGGCTTATTAAGGGGATCTAGTTGAAGTTGGGAGTGGAGATAGCAAGTTAGACCTCTTGAGAAATGTGGATAGTAATTTATTTGTATAGTTGACTTTTCTATAACAGGAGTTATCAGGAGTTCTCTGGTGGTCCTGTGGTTAGGAATCTGCATTTTCAGTGCCATGGCCCAAGTTCAATCTCTGGTCGGGGAACTAAGATCCTGCAAGCCTTGCAGTGTGGTGCCCACCCCCAAATATATATAAATATTATATATATTTAATATGTACTATGTATTAAAGTATATATAGATGAAATAAATATATAGATAAAATATAAAAATATATAGATAAAACATAACAAAAATATATAGATAAAACATGGATTTTTATATTTTTTAAATATAAAAATATATAGATAAAACATAAAGTTATTCTAATGCAAGGCCGGGTTTTATTCATTAGTGTAGCACCACCTAATAGAACAATGCCTGTACCATGGTCAGCCCTCAGTGAAGTGTTTTTTGATGGTCATATGGTGACAGGAGAGAAAGGGGAAGGGATGCTGGCCTAGTGGTGATGAGCAAACTGCAGCTCCTCATGGACTTCACGGTGGACAACTTCCTAGCCCATGCTGGCTACCTAGATGCCAACCTGAGTAAAGTTTTAGCTACTACAGATGTATTGAATTCTGAATCTTCAGGTATGCATAGATAGCAGCAAACTTTGCCTTATAATGGTTCTTGGGTTCTTGTTTTTATGTCTTGGTTTGGAATATCTTAGTTTCTTTGCAGCATAGCTGAAAGGAACATAACGATCATGTTTTACTGGGCTAATTATATCATGCTGTTATCATTTTAAGAAGTTTGCTTGGTCTTTAAATTGCAGATATTTTTGGAGTTGTGCTACTTTGATTTAGTGTTAGGGCCACTAGCAGAGAAGGAAAAAGTGTCAGCCCTCCCTGGAAACACTCTCCTCTCTTGGTTTCGATACTCCCACCCTCTTCTGGTACCACCCCACCCCGCCCCCCTGTCCATGTTTAGACCTTTCTTGCTATATCACAGTCACTTTCCCTTCACTCTTGGTCTTCTTTCAGTAAGAGGTCCTGATTACCCTCATGATTTTAATGAACACTAATGTACTGACTATTATAATTCTCCCCTAGAACTGTTTTCTTGTGTTCAGGCTGGTATAAGCTGGTTGCTTACTGGACATCTCCCTTTTTTCCCCCAGGAATCTCAAACTCACCACGACCAAATGGAATCACATCTTCACCCAAGATTGTTCCTGGTGTAACAGTTGTCCAGCTGGGTCAGAAACCTTTGTCCTGCTGGTCTTGGTGACCTCCTCAGTCTTCAAGTCCCAGCTTGAATTTCACTTTTTCTGTGATTCCTTCCTTCACTAATGCAGGTAAAGGGCTAATCACCCCCTTTGTCCTCTGGACAGCCACTATCCCTTACTCATTACTGTACTTGGCACGTGTTGGTGTGACTGAGCGCGTGTGTGCCCTGTCTGGAGGGCAGGGACTGTGTGATACCTCCGGTGCCTGTAGCAGTTTCTGTCCTTAGTGGGTACTTTGCAACCTTTGAATAATTTCTTTTTTTTTTTTTTGACCATGCCACTCGACTTTCAGGATCTTAGTTCCCTGACCAGGGATTGAACCTAGGCCCCAGCAGTCCTAACCACTGGACCACCAGGGAATTCCCAAACCTTTGAATAATTCGTAATCTCATTCCAGTGCTTATCAGTTGTGGTGAATATGTTATTGTTGAATATCATATGATATTCTGTTGAATATCAAATGAATATTATATTACTGTGGAGTGCTTAAATAAATAATAGATTTGGCTTTACCCTTTTCATATTTATTATACAGAAGTTGAAAAACTTAAAACTACAACTTTTTTTCTGTAAACCCAGTGTGGTAAAAACCCAAGGTAACGTTAAACAACTTCTAGTATGTTCTGAAGATACTTCAAGTGTTCTTTGATTCATTGTTGAAAAGCAGGAAAAATATATTAAATGAACATTTTTTGTGTATTATGCCGGCAAAAGTAGATTGTCACTTCTTATATAATGTCTTGCTAAAATATATATTAAAAATCGCCATAAAATGTTCATTTAATTTGACAAGATTTTTTGTTTTATATCTTCAGTAACTTTTTTTTTAAATAAAGATTAAAAGCTGTTATATTGTCAACCATCAAAAGACAATCAAAGCCATTCATAATTTCACTGTCAGAAGTAACCACTGCTATCATCCTAATGTATTTCTTTTTCTGTGAATATGTAAAACATATACAGAGATTGTTTTATTAAAACCATCTGACTTGATGATACATTGCAATGCCATAGTTTTAGAAATTCCTTTTACAATCTTGTTTCATAGTATTCAGTTTTGTGAACAAACCTTTACTAATGGACATTAACTTTTTTGCTTTATAAATAGGGCTGCAGTGAATATAAGTATTGTTAAGCTTTTTAAATGACTAATCGAATGTTTTAATAAATATGCACTATAAATGAATGCAGAGGTGATTAGGGTGGTTAGTGTAAACGCCGATCCACTATCTGTTGAGAAGAAAGGACATTATGGTCACTGCTAGATGACATCTAGGAAAATAGTCTCTGAAATCAGTCTCTGGGTTAGAGTCTGAGTTTGTCTTCCTGAGGGTTTATAAGAGCCCTTTCAAGGGGATGTGAGTGAGTTCTGGGCACAGAGGGGTTATCTGGTAGCGCTCTGAAGGGACCAGGTTCTGGGCCCCTGGCTGGCAGGAGTCTTGAGGTGAACAGGCTGCTCTTCCTGTTCTTCTGAGCATACGGAGGCCCGGCTCTAGTTCTCAGGAATGGGTGGATACAGAAGACTTGCAAGGAAGGGACATGGGCACACACAGGTGATCAGGCAGCAGGACACAGACACGCAGAAGCGTGATTAGCACGAAGCCCAGGCAGTCCAAGGACGGTTAAGATCCAAGCCAGGCGCACACTTGACTCCTAAGTATTTTACTCTTTACCCGCTGCCTTCTGGCCTTCAGAGTTTCTCACGAGATGCACGATCATTTTATCAAGGATCACTTGTTTGTGACATTTTGCTTTTCTCTTGGCCTGCTTTCAAAATTCTGTTTTTTGAAAGTGTGATTATATCTCTTTGATTTCATCTTGGTGTTCCTTGACTTCTTGGATATTTATGTTCATGTCTTTGACCAAATTTGGGAGGTTTTTGGCCATTTTTTCTTCAAATGCTTTACCTCCTTCTCTCTTCTGGGACACCTGTGATTCCTGTGTTGGTCTGCTTGTTGGTGTCCTACAGATCTCCTAAGTTGCGGTCACTTTTCTTCAATCTTTTTTGTTTCTGGTCCTCAGAGTTAATAATTTCTGTTGTCCTGTCTTCAAGTTCACTGATTCTTCCTGCTCAAATCTGCTTTTGAATCCCTCGAGTCAAATTTTCACTTTAGTTACTGCACTTTTAAGCTGCAAAATTTCTTTTTGGCTTCATTTTAGGTTTCTATCTTTATTTCCATTTTGTTTATACATCTTGACTTTCTCTACTTCTTTCTTTACTTCTTAATCATTTTTAAGACAGTTGTTTTGAAGTCTTTGACTGGTATATCTTCCATCTATTCTTCAGGGACAGTTTATGTTGACTTGTTTTTTTTCCTTTGAGTGTGCCCTGCTTTCCTATTTCTTTATGTGACTTGTGTTATTTTGGGAGGGAATAGCACTGCTGAAAACTGGACATTTGAATCTAATGCAGTAACTCTAGAGATCAGATACACCCTCTTCCCCAGGGTTTGCTATTTATTTTTTGTTTTGATATAGACTGCCTCTCTCCTGAAGGCCAGCCTGAGGTATAAACTTAAGGTTGTCTCATGTCTTTTGAGCTTTCAGGTGGGAATGAGCAGTCAATGTTGTAATTTCCCCCACATGTGCATTTGGTTGTAAATGTCCTAGTTTTTACTAGAGGAAAATTAAGGGGAAGTTTAGGGGGAAAATGGAAAAACGAATGGGGGGCAAAAGGGTGCTCGCTGTTTAAATCTCCTGGCACTCCAGCCCACTGGAAAGGCTCGCAACAGGGGCCAGATGCAGCTGTTTAAATCTCCTGGCACTCCAGCCCACTGGAAAGGCTTGCAACAGGGGCCAGATGCAGCAGCAGTGACTGCCCACTTGTTTGTCTGCACATCTGTGATCAGTAGCAGCAATCAGTGACCAGAGCCTAGCTCCGCAGTATTTGGAGGACAGGGTCCTATTTGCCAGCCTTGACTGCAGCAGGCTGCTCCAGGAGCATATGCACAGATGCCTGCTGAGTGGCTGAAGGATAGGGAACCGCTGCTCTGCTAAGAGCTGAAATCACCACAATTACCTTCCAAGTCTTCCCTGGCAAGTTGCAAGTCTTCAGTAGGCTCCAGAGTTCCATAGTAGTTACATCAGACAGATTCTGCAAGTGCACCTGTTGTGCAGGTGGAAAGACAGGTCCTGGTATTCCTTACTTGGCCATCTTCTGGCATCCTCCCTGGGTATTTGTGTATTTTGAAATTATTTCATCTTGACAGTTTGTCTCTTCCTCCGTCTGCAACATATGTGTGCAATAACTTGTGTGTATAACATATGTGTATTATAACTTGTGTGCAAGTTATATATAATATGCATAATATTAACAGTTTACTGGACTGCACCTTTTCTGTTCATGCCAGCATTTGGTGTGTTTACTTTTTTTATTTGTGCTAATGAGGTAGGCAAACAATACCATTGTGCTTGATCTATTTGCATTTAACTGATTATTGTGCTCAGTCACTTCAGTCATGTCCAATCTCTCTGTGACCCCATGGATTGTAGCCAGCCAGGCTCCTCTATCCATGGGATTTTCCTGGCAAGGGTACTGGAATGGGTTGCCATGCCCTCCCCTAGGGGATATTCCCGACCCAGGGATCGAACCCACGTCTCCTTTACTTCAGGTGAATTCTTCACCTGCTGAGCCATCGGGGAAGCCCAAATGATTATTCGCATGAAATAAATTTGTATTTTTTCTGGGAATTGCTGTTCATAACATTTTTATATAAATGCTTTAAATTCGGTTGTTTTCCTCTATAGTTGACTTGAGGCTTGATAAGAAAATGAGTTTATTGGTAAGTATGGTGGCTCCAGGATCCTTATCTGTAATTTATTTTCTCACACACTTCCAATGTGTTCATTTACATCATTTCAGTCTTTTCATAATTCTATATGAACTGATGAATTGCCATATTTTAACTTTATAATCATAAGATTGTTAATGTTGTACTAATAACTATTTACAAAATACTTTGACAGTTAGCTTTCATAGACACAATCTTACCACAGGTCATGAAGTTGATTGTATTCTGCAGGTAAGAAAGCTGTTCAGTTCAGTTCAGTCGCTCAGTCATGTAGGCTTCAGTAATAATACACAGAGCACAGAGTCTCAAGGTCAAATTTTGACCCTGCAGCTGATTCGTTTAATTATTCCTTTTGCCTGTCTTATTAGCTACAAAATGAAGAGGATCTTTTTCCCCTTTATCTGTTGGCAGAATATCCAAAAGCGAAATATGTTCTTAGATTAATAGCAATGTTACTATTTTTTAAATCTAGAAATGAGCACAGACGCAGAACAACAGCTTCTCCATCATGCCAGAAACGGCAATGCTGAAGAAGTAAGACAGCTGTTAGAAACCATGGAAAGGAATGAAGTAATTGCTGACATTAACTGCAAAGGTAAGCCTTGAATGTATCTTTTCGATTTTTCTTGTGGGTATGCACTAGGTGGCTCAGTGGTAAAGAATCTGCCAGCCAGTGCAGAAGATTTGAGTTCAGTCTCTGGGTTGGAAAGATCCTCTGGAGAAGGAAATGGCAACCCACTCCAGTATACTTGCCTAGGGAATCCCATGGACAGAGGAGCCTGGTGGGCCATACATAGTCCATGGGGTTGCAACTGAGCGCACACACGTATACACTACTTTATCATTTATTTAGTGCTAATCCTTTTGAACTTGCTTGCCATAAATTTCCATCTCTTATTCTAGGAAGAAGCCCTATAAGAGTGGATACTCTTCTGCTCCCCTCTAAGTAAGAGAAATTGAGTGCCAGTCTTTGTTTTCTTAACTTTTTATTTTATATTGGAGTATAGCCCATTAATAATGTTGTGATAATTTCAGGTGGACAGCAAAGGGACTCAACCATACATAGACATGTATCCATTCTCCCCCAAACCTGAGATCCAGTCTTAAAATTGTCATGGATCCTAAACCTTATGAACTACAGGGATAGTCCTTGAGCCCACAGGATACATGCTATCACAATTTCTTCTTCTCAAAGACATTAAAGTTGAAGCAGCAGGTTTGAATGTTTAATGTATGCCCAGGATCATGTGAAGTACCTTAAAATACTGTCAGACAGGATCTTTCCCTCACTGAGATCAGTAGATTACTAGCTCAGACTAGTTTTTATTGCACAATATGTACAGAGTATAAGAGCTATGACATGCAGAGTGTCATGGAATGTATAAGAAGTGTGTAACTAGAACTTGAAGGATTCGTTTCTTGGAGGAAATCATCCTATGGTGATATATGAAGAGTGCATAGACATATCCAGGTAAAAATAGAGAAGAAAAGGGCTCAAGGCAGAAGAAAGTTCATGTGCCAACGTCTTGAAGTGAGAAGCAGCCTCGATGGCAGGGATTTTGCAGATAGGAGGGGTGAGTAAGTAGCAGCCGCCAAATCACAGCGTGTCTCGTGTAGCATGGTTACAAATATATTAAACTCACATGTGCAGAGAAATAGAGTTTATTTTTTAAATTGGCTCAGATGTTTCAACAAGCGCCTTCTCCTTCTGGAGTTTGGAGGACTAAATGTTAGCCTTCGGGCCCCTCCATCTCAGTGGCTTTTTCGTAAAACGATTGGCCTCCCAGAGCCTCTCATCCGTGTCCTTTCCCATCTCAGTGTGTGCTCAGTTGCTTTAGTCGTGCCCATCTCTTTGTGACCCATGGACTGTAGCCCGCCAGGCTCCTCTGTCCATGGGATTTCCCAGGCAAGAATACTGGAGTGGGTTGCCATTTCCTTCTCCAGACTTTCTTCCTGACCCAGGGTTCAAACCCAGGTCTCTCTTGTCTCCTGCATTGGCAGGCTAGCATCAGCTTGGGAAGCCCCTCTCATTAAGGTGGCCTTTAAGTGTAAAGGCAAGCCTTTCTCTGTGTGTACCGCCGTTGGTTCCTCTGCAGCTTCCCTCCCAGCTCATCCTTGTAGGTGAGGAAAAACACAGGGAGTCACACGCAGGTGTTTCAGTTTATCATAAGCACAGATGTGCTCCTTGGCTGCCTCAGGAGTCTCCCCTTGGCTCTCACTGGCTTCCTGTCACCCTGAGCCTCTTTAATCTTCCATCTGACACATGGTCTAGGCTTGCTGGTTCACCTTGGACATACTCCTTGGGTGCGGCCACAGGGTCTTGAGTTGACAGCTGGGGGCTCAGAGCACCCTTGGGGACCAGCATTCGACCTTCCCTCTGCCCGCACTGCCGAGTTTACTTTGACTTGGCCGCTGTGCAGGTTGGTGCTCGGGTCAGTGCCTGCCGGGGGCCCTTTTCCTAGCATCCCACTTGTCACTGCCCGTTCTCATTGTTCCCTGGACCTACCTCGCTCTCTGGGCTCAGGGTCAGGAGTCCTGTGTCCCATCTTATGTCTTTTCCTCTCACATAACCCCGAGTCCTTGGTGGGTATTTTCTTCTGCCACGTTTCATTCCCCTCCTTTGCTCGAGCAGCTCACCCTCAGTGGGGACGGAGTATTATCTTTGCAGCAGGGAAGAAAACTTGCTCTGAGTTGTCCAGAAAGTAGCCCGAGGTCGTTCATGGAATGCTAAAGGAATTCTAAAAATCTTCTCATCCTTCACCAGGAACCTGGTTCTATTTTTAAAAAGTTGTTTTAATTGGGGGGTAATTGCAATGTTGTGATGGTTTTTGCCATACATCAACATGAATTGGCCCTGGGCACGCTTGTGTCCCTCCACCCTGAACCCCTGTCCCCCCCATCCCTCCAGGTTGTCACAGATCTCTGGCTTTGGACTCAATGGGAGAAGGAGAGGGTGGGATGATTTGAGAGAATGGCACTGACACATACACATTAGCATATGTAAAATGGAAACCTGGTTCTTAATCTTTACCTTGGAATTCTGTTCTGAAAGCTGGAAGCATGCCTGGTTGGATCATCATCAGGGACCCTTTACTTTCTACTCACCTCCACCCTGACCATGGTTACCTCGGGCTAGTTCTTGAGAAGTCACCTACTAGGAAACGTAAAACTGAGAGACAGCTGTTAATGCTTTTTCAAAATTTCACCCTCATTATACTTGTCAGTCAGACTGTCTTAAGGGTGGTTTGAAGGGATTATGCAGAGGAACAGTTATAATCAGGTGAGGTGAGTTCACCCACAGGAATGAGTGGGGAGGGCTGGGACTGGGCACGTGAGTGTTTGCGGGTGGGAATCTCGGTGCCTGCCATTTCTTGATTTTCTATCTCATTTGTTTTTCCAAACGCTGAGAAGTTGAGGAAATGGTAAAGTGTAGTATAATTCTTCTGCAAGATTTAAAGTTCAACAGTCAACATAGAGATGTTATTGGTTGGAAGGAATCCAGCCAATATGATGTCTGGTTGGAGGGAGAGAGGGAATCTCTGTAGGTGAAGGTCAGTACTTCTAGGCTTGGGCCACAAAGGAGGAGCTAATTGGGCAGTTTTGTTTGCAGCTGTTGCCACGTTAGGAGTGTGTGTTCATGTCTGTTGCTAGTGGTGAGACATTCTTGCAAATAAAATAAATGCTAATATGTTTGAATAACATGCTTTATATAAATTCTGTGAGTAGTACTCCAAGAAATGTTTTTTTTTTTTAAGAAATATGTTTTTAAAGCAAAATAAGAGCTTGTATTGGTAATATAAAGATGATTCTGTATGATGCTGTCCTCTCACTTTGTTGAAAGGTCTGCATGAGAAAATATTTCAATATTACCCATAACGTGTGTATGTGCTCAGTTGCTTGGTTTTGCCTGACTCTTTGTGACCCCATGGATGGTAGCCCACCAGGCTTCTCTGCCCATGGCATTTCCCAGGCAAGAATACTGGAGTAGGTTGCCATTTCCTTCTCCAGGGGATCTTTCCTACCAGTGATCAAACTCATGTCTCTTTTGTCTCCTGAATTGGCAGGCAGGTTCTTTACCACTAGCCCCACCTGGGAGGCCCATCACCCATAATATCTGCTGGTGTTTCCAGTGTTTTCCTCTTCAGTGTAGGGTACAGTTTTCTGTACATATTTCTAAACTTGATATTTCTTACTGATCAAAAATTTTGGATATCCATAATAAATAGTGAAGAGCGTAAAGGATATTTGGAGTATTTTAAGAATAATTTAAGATTTTGGAAATTTCAACTTCTTGGTCCAGAATCCCATGTGGAAATACTAGATGTGAGGAAGCTGCTGAGTAACTCAAAGGAGACTGGGGTGGGTCACTGGGACTAGAAGCAGTGGGAGTGGTGAAAAGTGTTTAGATATAGTTAACATTTAGGAGGTAGAATTGATAGGACTGATTGAGTTGCAGAAGGGGTGAAAAGGAGAAAGCCAGCCAAAGTGGTACTTATTTCTCCCATCCAAGTACTAGCCAGGCCCGACCCTGCTTAGCTTCTGAGATCGGATGAGATCGAGCCCTTTCAGGGTGGGATGGCCATAGATAAGTGGATGTTGTTCTTCAGGTGCTCAGTCATGTCTGACTCTTTGTGATCTCATGGACTGCATCATGCCAGGCTTCCCTGTCCTTCAGTATCTCCCGGAGTTTGCTCAAACTCATGTCCATTGAATCGATGATGCCATGCAACCATCTCCTCCTCTGTCGCCCCCTTCTCCTGCCCTCAGTCTTTCCCAGCATCAGGGTCTTTTTCAGTGAGTTGGGTCTTTGCGTCAGGTGGCCAAAGTATTGGAGCTTCAGCATCAGCAGCTTATTTCTGAATTGAGAAGTGAGGTGAATAATGGGACAGTTGATTGTGAAAAGTGGGAGTGGGGACAGGGAATTTTTGTGTGCGAGTTTGAGGTAAGTGAATTCAGCTTTGTACTTCCAGAGCAGAAGGTATTCCTGTATCCTCCAGGTGGAGGTGAACAGTAGAGAATTGAACAATAGAACTGAATAAGAGGTGGAAATGTGGAGTTTGAAGTCAAGAGCATATAAGCAAGTAAAGCTGTGGGAAAGCGCCAGGAGGTGTCATTGTTGGAGATTCCAGTGAAATGACCCAATCAGAGGAAGTAGAGAAAGTGGAAGTTTGCACAGAGCCCTCGGAGGAAGTGCAGAGCCGCTCTGGAGGCTTGGGCTGGGCTGGCCGACACTGTCCAATGACGCAGTGTGCTGCCTGCTGGAAAGTGCCCCTAGGATCCGGCGACACAACTTACTGGGATAAAGTGAGGACAGCTTTAGTGATGTGGTGGGAAGTGAACCTGGTCTGCAGTCAGTGGGTATCTCCTGGAGGGAACGAGGTGGAAGGAGTGTAGATGGGGAAGGGAGGGCGAGAATGAAGGAGACAGTCAGAGGGGGTTCAGGACCAGAGAGGAGTTGGGTGCTTTTGCTCGTAGGATGGAAGAGATGCAAATACTTACCTGTTGCTTCCTATTTGCAATGAAAAAGGGAGAGGTTAAAGATAAGGAGGAAAAGGAGTGCCTGGGAAGGAGGAGGAGAGCATGGGATCCAGGGT